TGTAGCAACAAACAATACATAAATATCAGTATCCCATCACTTAAAATACACCACTGCCAGGACATGTTCAAAAGGGTTTCCATGTCCTGAAATAACACCACCTGGGATCCTGAGCAGTTCAGGAAGAAACTGTTCTCTTATGTTCTGTTAGTAAACTCTAGAATTGAATTCCTGGTCACATGAAGGCTTAATTCTAGAGAGAGAACAGTGTATGCTGTATAGTAAATTTGCATCTCTGTTACTTGAGAAAAGGATTGGCAGAAGGTGATTTTATGGGGGGGGGGGGTTAATCATTTTGATGTATCAATATTTATTTTTAATTTATTTTTTTAGATTTGTCTCAATATAAGTTTTAAGCTTTGCCAAATTATAGGTTTTAAGCTTATTTTCAATTTTTATCCATTTAAATGTTCACAGATGTGGGAAGTTCTAAAAGGCAGAAAATGGGTCTGGTGATATTTTAATAACAATATATTCAAAAATTCAAATTTTTATAACAATTAAAACACATCACATGCCAAAATGTACAACAGATATCCTTAAAGCAAACTTAAGCTCTCGACCAGCATTTTTTTACTTGGCTTTATCTGTAGATTTCAATGATCACAGCTGAAAATTATATATATTTCTCAGTTTGTGTGTGCACTACGAAACAGACTTTTCCCTGAATTTACCAATAAAAATCTAATCCTTCCAAGCCTATTTAAGGACATGATTCAGCAAAGCACTTTTAAACATGAGTTACCCAACGCTCTTATGCACATGCTTAAGTATTTGGTTGAATCAAGGCCAAAAATAAGGTTTCAGCACTGTGACAGCTAAGAGATTCACAGCCCAGCATTTAATAACAAAATAATAATAATAATAATAATAATAATAAAGCCAAACATTTTGCAAACTGAAATTGTTTTCTCTGTGGGATTATGTAGGAAGTAGTTCCATTGTGTCTTCACACCCCATGGAATGTCAGAAAGCTTCAGTTTTCACATTACCGGAAATGAGTTCCCTCCTTTACAAAAAAACTGAGCATCTCATACAGGCACATCCTGTTATAAAAGGGAATGAGGGTCTGCACTATTCAAAAACAGGGAGCAACACCACACATAGGTAAAAACTGCCCAGACAAGTCTGATAGTGAGAGAGGTGAATGTCCTCAACTGCCACAGACCACTGGAGACAGGATTGAACATTTATTAAGGCAACCGATTCAAAATATTACTAACAGAGGTGGAAATATGTTATTATTTTACATTACAAGATCTCTACTTCCCAAGTCTCACATTTGTGCCCTATCCTCTCTGTTCTCAGATGACCTGTAAGCTCTCTTTTTTAATGTGCGGCCTCCTCCAATGCTACTAGAAATAGGCTAACACTAATGTACTGAAGAGTCACAATTTTTTTGTGTTTTTTTTTTAAACCGGGCATCATGAGTAGTATCATCATCTTTGTCCAGTTACTAATCTTTGCATCTGTCCTTTTTTTCTAGCCTACTGGAGTTGTATTTTTGACACACACTACGTATGTCGCTAAAATCTGTCCCTAAATCCCAACTACTAAGTTATGTATTAAAAGTATCTTTCGGGAAACAGTCCCAGTAATCTTCTGATGTTCTTTATAGTTTTCCTTTAGCCACTAAGGTGTTCAGTTACCACTGAAACAAAAAAAAACATGTATGGAAGTAGAAATTTTTCTATGTCAAATCATGTACCATTGCTCAAGGGGAATTTCCTTATGTAGAGTCTTTTCCCATGTACCCAGATAATTACATTTGTCTTCCACATTAAGTTTAGAATGTTCACAATATAAAAGGTCAGCTTCTTGGAGGCTCATTATCACCTTTTTGATCTAAATAGCCTCCAACTTACATTTCCTAAGGGTTTTAAATCTAATTTTTTCAGTCTTTGTATAGTTAACTATCGGGCATTTATCTGAATTTGTGATGTATCCAAGTCTAGCATATTTCTCCCCTAACTTGCCTTACACTATTTAGACCAATGTTCCTCAAAGTGGTCCGTGGACCCACTCCGAGAAGGCTGCTACTGGGCCGCTCCTGTTTGTTTACTCACAGGCTCTGCAGCCACAGAGCCTCACAGCACCCCTTGGTAGCAGTTTGCCGTTTGCAGCCAAGGGAGCCGCGAGAAGCGGTGTGAACCGGGCTGCTGCTTCCCGCAACTCCTATTGGCTGCAAACAGAGAACTACATCAATGGGAACCGCGAGGCTCTGTGGCTGCAGAGCCGGTAAGTTAATCAATTGGAGTGGCCCAGTAGCGGCCTTCTCAGAGTGGGTCCACGGGCCACTTTGATAAACACTGGTCTAGGCTATATAGTGAAAAACAGGACTGGTATCTCCGGGAGGAAGATTCGGTTCATGTCCTGTTATTTGCAAAGAAGGAAGAGGAGGGTGACTCTTGCTCCTAGGCCTTTTCTATACTTATTGGGAGATTGATATTGCAGAGATCGATCTCCTGGGAGGAGGGGGGGTTGTCAGTTTAGTGGGTAGGGGGGGAGCAGGACACACAAAGAGGGCAGCTGCCTTGGGGCCTGGTGATTTAAAGGGGAATCGTGTGCTATAAAATTAATAATGGAATTCTTGTAGCAATGCTTGGGGTTCTATGAGAGGAGGTGCTATCCTGCAGTCAGTGGCTAGATATAACATAGGCCACATACATGTGCCCAATGTACATGTGTGTAGCAGATGTAAATCTGAACATTTACTGATGCATTTTAACCACCAGGAATTATATTTTGTTAGTAAAATACCTGCCCCCGCTTCTAAACTTTCTGTTGGAAAATAAAATGACAAACAGAAATCTTGATGACTTCTTTTTTAACATTTATGTTCTGCCATGCAGAAGAAGCTATAATTTGCCCCGTGTAATTAGGTTAAATTTAGTTTTGGTGATGATTGGATAGATATTATCTGATATTGTGTTTTGACATCTTCTGCTTAGCAGGATACCCAAAGTACTTCATTTACTTTGGGGGCCAGCAAAATTGCTGCTTAGCCAGTATCTTATTTGGATGGACTCAGGAGAGCAAGTGACCCTTAAGTTTATTTTATACCCTGATCATGGTCCAAAGTGGTTTATAAGGTTCCTTAAATTCTATATTCATTTTTAAAAAACAAATATGTATCTATCTATATAAAGCCTGAAAGAATAAACTTAAAACCTACTACAGCTCTCCTTTCAGAAGTGAACTTTACAATGGTCTTTTCAGTAGAAAGTAGTTTGGTTCCATGCCAATGATCTTTTACTCCTTTTCTAATCCTTAATTAATCCTTTTTAAAAACAATTTAGATGGTGCATATTCTACTGATACTCAGCCTTCTGTTTGCATACATCCATTGCAACAAGATCTTCTACAGCGAGGCTCTATTTTCTAACGTTTATGATGTCATCTGATCAAGTTATTCTTCTTGTTAAAATACATCACTATGAGTCATCATAAACTGAAAATAGTCCTGTTTCTCAGTAGAAAATCCATATTTTTTGCTTTGAATAGCTTGCAGGAAAGCAGCATGGAAAGTTCGAGAACAAAGAATTTAAAACCAAAAACAAAACAAAAACAACCCCAATGCTGTAGCAGTTTTAGAGTTGAATTTTCAACACACAAACTCTGCTTGTGCACATTCAAAACCTGCACATGCAATTTTTGTGCATCATCTGTGCAGGTCCATGCTCGAATGCACAAATACTTGTAGATGCATAAAATGAATGTTGCTTGTATCACTTCTACTGTTTACAAAATTTATAATCCATGTAAAGCGCCACAAAAAGTGATTTACATACACCATGGAGGCTGGGCTGAAGCCCTTTTGAAAATTAACACCTCATGTCAATGAAATATTAGATTTGTGTCTTCTTGCTTAAGAAAGTACAGTCAGATGCTTAGAGATGGAGTGTGCTCAGTGTCATTTATCACCAGCCTTGAAACTGATGACATGAGTAGGAATTTTGCCTCAGTAAGCACTACAAGATCAGGCCTTAGGCCAGTGAGGGGCAACCAAGGCTAGTGAGAAGGGAAGTAAGCAACTAATTGATTATCTGATAAGCAAATGCTTAATTGGGTAGTTGAGCAGGAACTTGACTAGTCAGTTCCTCCCCATTGCTGCCTCTATCAGAGATGCAACAAGGGAGGGGTGGAGTGGAGCAGCAGCCAGTGCTGGGGGGAACCAGCTTAAAAGCTGGTTCCCCCCAGCACCGTCTCCACGGAGGGCAGGGGAGGCAGAGGGGAAATGGTGAGAGCGGGGACTGAAACAGTCCCGCTCACGCAGGTCCTGACTTCTGTGCCTCTCCCTTTTGAAATGTACGGGAGCCGCGCAGCACACAGAGGGGAACAGACACCAGTAGGGACCAAAGCAGGCCCTGCTGGCACAGGTTCCCCTCTGTGCCTCTCTCCTTTTGATATGTACAAGAGCTGTGCTGCTCCTGTACATTTCAAAAGGGAGAGATGCAGCAGGCGGCTCCTGTACATTTCAAAGGGAGAGACACAGGAGGATATTGAATGCCCCCCGCCCCCATTGACTAATCAAGTAGTTGATGGAAATTCCATCAGCGACTTGATTAGCTGATTAATCAAAATTTAACATCCCTACTAGTGAGTGGGACGCAAGATTGTCAGAACCAAAATGGTCTTCTGGGATAGAGTTGGTTTACTAACTGCGCTTGTGTACCTAGACTTTGCGGGATGTGCCGACTGAACCACAGCAGTGCTCTAGATGCAGAGGAAGCACATGGCTCTCACAGTGTTGCATGCAATAAGCATGCATCTCACTCCACGCACTCTTGCTTTAAGTGCATGTCTCTCTTGTAGTGGAGGGTGGGGGACTAACAGATGAAAACCAGCGGAATCTGGTAACCCTGTGCATGGGTATCAGTAAACAAAACATCTCGTGGGCCACACACAGAACCCCACTCTCTGGCCTTAGGCGATATTTTAGATGATAAAAGAATACACCCAGTGAAAGGCAATCACTAGGTACTGTGTATCTGACTTACCACAAGAACAGCACGTGAAGCAGTTGGTATGGTAGAGGTTACCCATTGCTTGGCATGCCTGGCTCGCTCCATACACACCCTTTCCACACTTTATGCAAATACCTAGGAAAAAGAAAAGACTAACGTCAGACTCCTCAGCAATTCAAAAAAGTATCTGGTGGCTGCTGATTTGTAACACTTATTCTACCCCCATCAAGCTCTAATCCAAGGAACTAATGATCCTGAATAGAATCCTGAAAGCAAAATTAGTATCAAGCATCTTGAATGAAATGACTGAAAAACAACCCAAAATAAAAGGCAGAAAATCCTAGTGTGGCTGGTGAAACCAAGTATGAAGAGCTAGCCTGGCCAAACACAGCATGGAAATCCCAGGAAAACAGGTGAAAATGAGAAGGGATTGGAAAATCTGAATGCCCACTGGAAAGAATTCAGACTTCCAAAGGAACAAACATCTGAGATATTTTGTGCAAGTAGTGATTTTAGCACTACATGATACATTCAGCAGCATCAATAAAACAATTTGGTTAAACAGTACCATAGAAAAAAAGGTGTTTATTTTTCTCTCCCCCATAAAGTAATTTGTTGTATCAATAGTGACTTGAGGTCCCATAAGGAGCTCAGTGAAAATTATGGTGTCAGTCATGTGTCATGTTTTTTAACTTTCTGTCATTAGCAATATTTAGCCCCTATAAGTTGGGCATTATACAAAACAAGAGGCAAGACATGTAATCTGGGGTATCAGATGGGATTCTGCTTGGGCTACGTTGTAGTTCCTATTGCAACAGCTACACTTCTATTTTTAGTGTGCTGCCTGGTTCAGAATCGGGATGTTGAATACTGTGTAATTGAATAGTCATGTAACCACATGAAATCTTAGCGGTTACACGACTATTTGATAGTCTCCGGGGGTGGGGGCGGCAGCCAGTGAGCTTCCGGCCCCACACCCTTGGAGCCCCCTGCCACCTCACGCTGCTGTCTTGCTATCAGAGGCAGCAGTGCGTAGTGGCAGGTGGTAGCTGGTCCATGAGGAGAGTCAGCTCAAAAAACCAGCTCCCCGCACAGACCAGCATGGGGTGGCAGCAACAGTTTATTTTTTGTGTTCTTGATATGCCCACTGGACCATAACTTTTCTGATTTAATTGTATAGTATGCCGTGCAGTTGTATCCATGTCAGCAGTGGCGGATTTAGGGCAGGGCAAGTGGGGCGGCTGCCTCGGGCCCCGCATTTCCCGAGGCCCCCCGCATGCGCCGTGTCAAAGGAGGGGCCCCGTGAAATTTCGCTGCCCAGAGCCCCGCGGCACTCTCATCCGCCCCTACATGTCAGTCCTAAAACATTAAGGAGACATGGTGGGCAAGGTAATATCTTTCACTGGGCCAACTTCTCCTGGTGAGAGAGACAAGCTTTTGGAGCCGAAGAAGAGCTTCGAAAAGTCAATGCAGTTTTTAAATTGCTTTAGGAGAACATAAAATTTGATTTATTATCACCTAATTAAGCTACTTGTGTGCTGATTAAGGCTCTGATCCTGCAAACATTCACACATATGATTAAAACTTTAAGTCTTACAGGCTTCAATGCAGATCTTGATACACTTAAAGGTCCCACACAATTGTTTGTAGAATCAATGTCCTAATCATCCAGATTTTTCTCTCCTGGTCAGAGAAAGCTATACAAAGTGATATAAATTTAAACCATTGGGGGGAAATCCCACTTGTTATTAGCTTGGAGAAATTGAACTTAATAGCGGGCAGGGACCAGCAAGCTAAAATAGGGAAGAACTCAGATGTTTCAGGTTCATCTTTACAAACTGTTTTACAAAGACTCATCATATTGACTATTCTGAGCTACCACACAGAGAAAGAAATGTAATTTTGTTGTTAATTGTAGGAAAATGTAGAAGGCAGGCAACATAGCATCTGCAGTAAGATTGCTGGTATCTGATTTGGGACCGCAGTAAGAAAGGACATGGAGGCAGCACTGCACACACCATTTTTCCTAGCCTTCCGATATACCATCCAAAAAGTTCGTGTCTCTCCCTATGGTTCTCTAGTTTGACTAACTTACAGAGATATCAAGTTAAAAAGAAGTATATTTTGAAAAAAATTCCTTTGGTTGTGTTACAAATTAATGTATTAAAATAGAAAGTTTTAGAAACTGCATGTAGTTTAAAGCATTTATACTCTTAACTGACTTCACCCATCTTAGATCATGAAAATAGACTAGTCAATTTCACCTGTGTTGTCTGATTTCCATGCATTAGCAGGGGAATATTTAAATGGAAAAAAAACCATTGTCTTCATTTAAATAAAATAATAATAATGAAACGGCTCCTATTAATATTGAATTCTGTATAACCTTTTAAAGTTGGTGCTAAAGTACGTTACATTGTCCTTTCAACACCATTAAGTATCAGTGCCCTAAGTTAAACTACTAATACCAAAACCAAAACCTTTTCAGAGAGATCTGCCCAACTACACTGTAAACATAATGTCAGAAAATGTTGATGCTGAGGCTAACTATGAAGTCAGATTTCATATACTAAAGAAGAACTTTACTTTAGAAGGTTGACTACCTGCAGGAGCTCTTCAACTCTTACATCTTTTTAACCAAAGGTTATGAAGTAAGAAGACTAGTATTTACTATAAGTTAATGATTCATTTGCTAGCAAAAGTTCGTTATTGATCCCTCTAACATTATGATCCAAAAGTGAAGCCACTTCACTCAACTAATATTGCAACAGATACCACACACGATAACATTACCGACAGAGCAAACAACGAACTCCTCTAACTTCCTGGGAATTCTAGAATCAACATGGTCTTACTTCCTTATAAACATGCTAGTGGCACCATTGGACAAGAAGTTTTGCTCATACAACAGCCACAGGTTCCACTTTGAAATGGACAATCTGTTTCAGTTTAAGGCCCTCATCCAATACTTGATTTTATTGGCACCACAACCAGCCATCTTCACCATTCTGTCCACCCTTCCACATTAGCGTACTTGTGATTGACTGCCACTGACATCGAGGAGGTGAAATATTCATGTTTTTAGGGCTTGTCTACACTATGTAGAAGATCAATACTGCCACAGTTGATCTAGTAAAGACCTGCTAATTCGAACCAAGAGGGCGTTCCTGTTGGCACCAGTAGTCCTGCTCCTCACAAGGAGTAAGGGAAGTAGATCGGAGTGCATGCTCCCATTAACCTCCCTCTGCACTGAAGGCTCCAAAACGCAATTTAAGATACTTTGACTCCAGCTACATAATTAACATAGCTAGAGTTGCGTATCTTAAGTCCACTTTCCCCTTTAGCATAGACCAGGCCTTAAAGACACACTTTCTCTCTTTTTCTGCTGGTTTTTGTTTCCGGGATGGCAGAAATCCATAGTCTACTTTTCCTTAATGGCTATCATTGAAATCTCATTCACACATGCCATTAAAATGCTAGACCTACAATAGTCTGGAACCATTATGGCATATAAAAGCTATCATCTATATTTTAAAAAAAATCTATTAACCCACTGGACCATCAGAAACAAGTGAATTATTTGATTGTGAATGGTTTATTTACACAGCCTTCCCCAACATATGATTCAGTATGAGCAGCTGTCAGTTTGTAAGTTCATTTTCTCCAAAAGATTGGTCATTAAATGCAGGAATGAATGACCACAGAAATGACTGGCATTTTAAAAAGATTTCATGTATAATTCCATTTGTACATTTTTCAAAATATATACGCAGCTGTGGTGTGAGCTCATAACACCCTGGAAAAAGTCACTGATATCCAGGCTATTTATGATCAGCTGTCCACCAATCAGAACCTAGGCTGTCCGTCATTAGTTTGGTTAAAACCAACAAAGAGTAGCACCCCAATGACTGAACAATTTTATTAGGGCATAAGTTTTTATGAGAAGCAACTCACTTCATCAGATGCATGACATGATAGATCAGATAGCAAGGATACAGAGATGAAAGTGTTCTATCAGTGTTAATTTAATCTGGTGGTTATGGTATACTACCAACAGCCATAAGGTGAAAATACCTAAAGGGGAAAATTACTTATTGTCATGAGATCTATTAGTCTGATAAGATGCTATACTTAATAGAAATTCTGGACTTTGTTTCAGATTTATTTCTAATGCCTGTTAAATTTTTCTATGAAGAATGTGTTGTTATGGGGCAAGCATATGACATTCTGGCATTTTATTGAGAGTCACTCTTAGAATCTACCATTTCCAGTCTTTGTATAATTCACATGAAGAAGGGTGCAGGAGCGGGCTGGAGGTGAGGGGTCTTGGTGGGAGATGTGTGTGTGACGAGGATGGGGATGCAGGATCTGGACATGAGGGGGTGCTTACCTGGCTCCATGCCTTCCACCGCTCCCAGGCACCCCCCTCCGCTGCTGTCATTGGCCATGATTCTGGCCAATAGGAGTAGCAGGGAAAGCCTCCACGGGAGCAGTTTCCTGCGGCGTTGCCATTCCCCCAGCTGGGGGAGTAACAGCATGTGGATCCACTTCCTCCCCCCTCACAAGCCAGATCCAACTTGCAAGGCTCGGGGCTCACCTGGCAGTGGGGAACTGATGCTGGAACTTCAGCCTTGCCAGGGGGGGGGGAGGGGTTGAGAGGGGGAAGCCTGGGCCTAGAGTGCCAGTGCTGGCACCCCACTGCAGGGGCGGGAGGGAAGCCCACAGCCCAGCTGCAAGACTGTTGCAGACCACTAGTGGGCCATGGACCACACTTTAAGAACCACTGCTCTAATTTATGCCAGCTGCCAGCAGTCTCCTGGGACCCATAGATCACAGGGATGTCCTGGCTGAAAAGAGCAGGGGTGAGGTAGACACCGCTACCGTGACTCTACCCCCATGCAGGTATCCACTCATGAAGAGACACTCCTCCAGTATCCAGATCAAGGTGTAGGGACGCCTCACGCTTCCGGAGTGGTGCCAAGCCACTGGCTAGCACAGCTGAGGATTGGGGCCATTAGTCTCTGGAGTAGTCAGCTGTACCTTTAGCAAAGGGAGAGTGGAGTCTGTGACTCGTCACAGCCCATTCACATGGCCTCAACAGCATCATCACACACAGGTCATACCAACATGCTGCA